ATGCGCGCTAAAAACACCGCCCCCGGCCCCGACGGCGTGCCGGGTCGCGCCTGGGTTCTAGCCATGGAGTCGCTCGATCCCTGGATCAGGGCATTGTTCCGGGCGTGTCTGGAGCAGGGCCAGTTCCCAAGTGAGTGGAAGAGGGGGAAACTGGTCCTGCTCAAGAAAGACGGGCGTCCGGCGCTCGAGCCGTCGGCGTATCGGCCGATCGTTCTGCTGGACGAGATCGGCAAGCTCTTCGAGCGCGTCATTGCCGATCGTCTCGTCCAGCACTTGGAGAGTGTGGGCCCGAATCTCAGCGCCAACCAGTTCGGCTTCCGCAAGGGTAGGTCCACCCTGGACGCCATAGCGCGGGTGAGGACCCTTGCGGAAGACGCGGAGTCCCGGGGTGAGGTGGTGGTGGCGGTGTCTTTAGACATCGCCAACGCGTTCAACACCTTGCCCTGGGAAACCATCAGGGAGGCGCTGAGATTTCATCGGTTCCCGCTGTACCTGCGGAGGATCGTCGCGGCCTACCTCTCTGAGCGATCGGTCGCGTACCCGACCAGCGCCGGCTGGTCGCAGAGGGCGACGTCGTGCGGTGTTCCACAGGGGTCGGTCCTCGGGCCGCTCCTGTGGAACATCGGGTACGACTGGGTGCTGCGCCTGCGCCTCCCAAGGGAAGTCGAAGTCGTATGTTACGCCGACGACACCTTGGTGACGGCGCGGGGCAGCACCCACTCGGAGGCCCGACGCAGGGCCACAGCTGGCCTGGCCACTGTGGTGGCCAGGATTCGCCGGGTGGGTCTGGAGGTTGCTCTGCACAAGTCCGAGGCCATGTATTTTTACGGGCCTCGGCGAGCACCTCCGACCCACTCCGCGATCATGGTGGGCGGAACTTCCATCGGCGTCGGGGGTACGATGAAGTACCTCGGACTCGTCCTCGATAGCCGGTGGAAGTTCGAAGAGCACTTCCGGCGTATGGTCCCCAAGCTCCTGGGGGCGGCCGGGGCCCTTAGCCGGCTCCTGCCGAACCTGGGCGGCCCGGGATCGCGGTGTCGTCGCCTGTACGCAGGCGTCGTGCGGTCCATGGCACTGTACGGTGCCCCCATTTGGGCGGACACTCTGACCGCCCGGACTCGCGCCCTTCTGCGGAAGCCGCAGAGGGTCATGGCGGTCAGAGTGACCCGAGGGTATCGTACGGTGTCGTGCGACGCGGCCTGTGTGCTGGCGGGGACACCGCCGTGGGACTTAGACGCGGAGGTGCTCTCCGGCGCCTACTGGCGAAGAGTGGAAGCCCGCCTGCGGGGGGGGGAGACTCCTCCCGCGGTCGAGCAGGGTGCGTGGCGGCGGGCGGCGGAGGCGCAGCTCATCGCTGTCTGGCGGGAGCGGCTGCTTGCGGCGTCCGCTGGCCAACGCACCATCGAGGCGATCAGGCCCATCCTGGAGCGATGGATGGGTCGGAGGCACGGGGCTCTCTCGTTCCGTCTGGTGCAGGTACTCTCGGGGCATGGTTGCTTCGGAGGGTATCTGTGCCGGATTGCGCGACGAGAGCCCAGTGCGAGGTGCCACGAGTGCGGGCATGCTGAGGACTCGGCCCAGCACACACTGGAACGGTGTGTGCATTGGTCGGTCCAGCGTGCCGCACTCGTGGCAGTTATAGGTGGGGACCTCTCGCTGCCGGCCGTCGTCAACGCGATGGTGGGCAGCGAGAGTTCCTGGAACGCTGTCGCCTCCTTTTGTGAGGAGGTGATGGCGCAGAAGGAGGCGGCAGAACGACGGCGGGAGGAGGACGCAGCTGCGGACGCCCTCCGCCGTCGTCGCGACGGGCGCAGGCGGCAGGCGCACACCCGCCGTCTGCCCCCGTAATCAGAGCTTCGGGCGATGGTTTACCATCTCCCCATCGCCCGACAAACACCAGTGGAGTTACGTTGAAGGTGACGCTCCCGGTTCTC